CTTGAAGAAATAATGACAGAAATATATTATTGTTGCACAGTAGAAAGATAATAATAATAGTAATAAAATTAATAATAATAGTAATAAATAATACAATTTATTAAATCACAGAAACTCTTCATGACAACCTGTCAAAATAAAAGTTTGGTTTACCTTGAAGAAATAATGACAGAAATATATTATTGTTGCACAGTAGAAAGATAATAATAATAGTAACAATATTAATAATAATAGTAATAGTAATAAATAATACAATTTATTAAATCACATAAAATCTTCATGACAACCTGTCAAAATAGAAGTTTGGTTTAACTTGAAGAAATAATAATAATACAAATAATAATATGATAATAATAATAAATAACACAATTTATTAAAACACAGAAACTCTTCATGACAACCTGTCAAAATAAAAGTTTGGTTTAACTTTATGACAGAAATATTTTAGCGTTATATAGTGGAATGTACTTATCAAAATTCGATTTTAAAGGCTTCTGTCATTGTGAAAGTTTAATTATTAAGTTTAATGAAGTTTAATTAAATCAATTCATAATTCAGATTTAGTTAAGCGACTACTAAATTAACACAGAATCCAGAAAAAATAAAACCGAAAATGCAGAATTACGGGAAAAATAAAAGTTTCAAAAAAATAAATAAAATTTCTCAAATTGTTAAAGTTTAAAAAAATATATTAAATTGCAAAGGTTGATCATGAAATCAACTGAAAATATTTACTTTTTGTTGATTAAAACATAATTGTGATGGGACATTAAGACGGAATCCAGGAAAATTAAAATTCGTAGAATTTGGGGAAAAAAATAAAAGTTTGAAAATGGAAAAAAAAGTTTGATTTCAGATGCCTCTATAATGTTATTTTTAGCAGCATCATATGACCCCTTTAATCTGACTCGTCTGGAGCGGCGAGTGCTGTTGTCACATGCTGTGTTTGTAGTGTGCTAATATGGGAAAGTATGCGGCGCAGGAGAGGTTGCTCTGAAGAATGCAGCGCTGCGTTTAGACTGAACTCTGCTCGCACACAAACGCCTGCTATCCCAGGATGCTTCAGTGGATTTCAGGGCCTCTCTCGGGGGATTTTCCTAAAGGGCAGATAAACACCCCATTATAAAACATCAGGAGCAATCCTAGAACCTTTCTTCAGGCCAAAACTAAACTAAATGTCTCATTTGTATTTATTTAGGGAAAAGACTCAATAGTCCGGAATGGCATTATTACCAGCTTTATCTGAAGCTTTTATAGTATACTGTACACAGTCTGCAAATGTTCCATATGCATAGAAATACCTAAAGCATTTGCCAAAATGTGCAGCATACAACACTAGTGTGTAGTTTCTCCCACTTCTCATGATTTCACGATGACATCCGCTCTACATTTCTTTCTTTTTAATAACTTGTATCCTGTTTTACTTGGAAATAAAGTTAAAGTGGTTAGAAACACTGTTTGACATTGAGAACGGAACGTGTACTGTATACATGTGAAGGGATTTAAAACATGAAATTAAATAAATATATAATAAAATGATAAATGCATCATTGAATGTTGCAATAAAATGTAAGCATAAATAAATAAATTGTGAATTACATTTACTTTATATATCATAATGTATTTGAAAACATCATGAAATATTAATTTGTTTTATTTTGTCTGCTGCATTTTAATTTTCATTTAATGTCTGTATTATTTTAGATAAAAAAAAATAAATTTCATATATTATTTAATTTATTAATTTATGCTTGCACTTCATCAAACTATTTTTTTTTGCATTGTATAACTTATTTAATAAATTATTTATAGATTTATTCCATTTCTGTTAAATCCCCCCATATATGCATACTGATTTTACTATATAAAGTATATATAAAGAAATATTATATAAAGTATTCCACTCTGAATTAGTGTTATTTTAGTATCATTGAGATATTTTTATAGTTTTTATTAATATTTTGAATTAGGTTTTATTTTTTTATTTTCTTTATATTTTAATTTTAATTTTAAAGTTTTAGTAGTTTTGTTGAACGTTTTTGTCATTTTTATATATGTCTGTATATTTTTTTATATTTATTTTAGTTTTAGTTTTTAGTACATTGTTAAACTAAATGTTGTATATTTATATAAATTTCAGATCAAGTTTATTTTATTTTAAGTAATGATTTTTTTAAATGGTTTTGTTCTGAACAAGCCAATATTTCAGATACATCCATATCTCAGAGTTTTAGATTTCACATTATTTCTCATTTGATGTGATGCTCACATGAGTTCAGATGTTCCTGTATTTCTGTTTAAGCGCACGTTCTTCATGCTCCGAATTGAATGCTGTAGTTTATTGCTGCTCAACAGCTGATTAGATAAGAGTGAACACACGTGTGTTGTCTTTACGCTGCCAGCATGTGTGTGTGTAGAGGTTGTGTGATGGAAACACACACACACACAGTGAACTCAACCTCTTTGTTATTTCTTTTTAAAGGAGAAGCATTTCTTCCACAAGGTCAATGAACGCCTGTCAAAACCTAACATCTTCATCCTGAACAATCGCTGGGACGCGTCTGCTGCCGAACCCGAATACATGGACGATGTAAGTTTATTTGGCTCACTGCAGATTAGTCGTGGACCAGTAGATATCACCAAGACCAATATATCGGCCGATATTTGCCATTTATTAATTATAGGCATCGACCAACAAGCATTTCTATTTGGCTGATGTGTTGGAAGCGGGACTTTTATTTTGATGGTGCATGGGACTTTTATTTTGATGGTGCATGGGACTTTTATTTTGACAGTGTCGAGAACACCATCACCACATTTTAAATCCTTGAAAATTAACACACACAAAAAAAATGTAATTAGCACTACTCTGTCCTTATTTGACAAAATATGATTAAAAATGTCTTTACTTGTGAAAAATAAATAATAAAGTTCCCATCTAAATAATGTTTAAATTTTACGGATTCATTTTTAAATTCATTTTTTTCCCCCATATTTATTCATTTTTAAATTATAATAACATAGTATACTAATTATTGTAATAATTATAATAATAAAAATCTATATTGGTCACCTCTACTCCAGAGTTTCCCAAAGTGAAGTGAGTGTATCTGTAAATCTGTCATTGATTTGCGGTTGTTTAATGGTCTCAGGTGCGAAAGCAGCACACGGACAGGTGCGTGAACTTCCTGGTGGAGGAGCTGAGGGTTGTGGATCGAGCTCAAGCGCCGAATCGTATTTTCTTCGTGTCGGCGAAGGAGGTGCTGAACTCGCGGATGCAGCGGGCGCAGGGTATGCCAGAGACGGGTAAGAGCGTGATGCTGACGGCTTCACGAGCCAGCATCACATCTAGCGGATGGGAATCAGATTTGGGTATTTAAATGAACAGTTCACACTGAAATTAAACTGTCACACTCATTTCATTCCATTCCAGAACTTTTGTTCTTCTGCCGAGCACAAAAATGATATTTTGAAGAACATTGATAACCAAACAGTTTTGGTACCCATTGACTTCCATTGTATTTTTTTGTCCATACAATAAAAGTCAATGGAAACTGAAACTGTTTAGTTGCCAACATTCTTAAAAAAAATTTTTCCCGTATTAAAAGTTTTGTATTATTATAAATTATAAATATATACATTTTTATATATTTATATTTAATATATTAATTATAATTATATATATATATATATGTGACCCTGGAGCACAGAAGCAGTCTTAAGTCGCTGGGGTATATTTGTAGCAATAGCCAAAAATACATTGTATGGGTCAAAATTATCGA